TCTAGAAAGCCAAGGACCTCAGGTTCTTCTGGCATCTGAATTTTTCACCTTATGCTTTTCAGTATACATTATGTCTCAGAGACAGACCATTAAGCAACTATCAGAAGTATTTATTGGACAGTTTTACTTTGAAATCTGCTTTTTCAATTGGTTCCTTAATTATTTTTTTGTTGGGCTCAAAAATACTGAAGCCATCTACTGTCAACTTTACTTGTCTTCAAAGTTCATCAATGCCTGCACTGTAAAGAAAGAGACAGTAAGTTAAGAGTATTCAGAACATAAAAACCTTTGGTGAAGATTTTGTTTTTCCTGGTTTCCACACAAATACTTTAAATTAAGCCATATGAGTCTGTTTGTGCTTTGCTATAGTCAAGTTAATCCGGATTAAAGAAATCAGCTTGCTACCTTCTCTTTCCTTTTACCCTAAAACTCTAGGCTCCTCAAAGAACTGGGAAGGCATGAATGAATGAACCATAGCCAACATTTTGAATAGCCAAAGCCTGTCCTTAAGGTTTGGTCCTCACATGATTTACAGTTTCTGATAACCTTCAGGAGGGCCAGCCATGAGTCAGTTTGTACTCCACAGCACATAACATTGATAGCTCAAGTATGAGTTGAACAGATGGCACCCAACAATGAAATCTCTTTAACATTTGCCCCAAATTATATGTTCCAATATTATCTTCTTTTTTTGTTTTTGGTTTTTTTTAATTACTGTATTTTAAAATTGTTGTGTGTAACATTGAATCAGATCCGACGGGCACTAGAGGAGATTGCCCTTCCTTCTCCAGCCTTCAGAATTGCAGTACAGCTTCTTGCCACAAGGCCATCACGGCTCCCTATGTTCCAGCACAATTAATACTTCCTATTGCCCTCCAGTGCCCACCACATTCACAAACACACCCCTCTTCTCTAATTTTTTTAAAATGTTTTATTTTTACATTGGGTTACTTAAACTCATTCTGAGGGGAAAAAAAATCTCCTCAGTTAACACTAAACCAAGTTAAACTGTAAAAAAGTGTCCTTTGTTCTAGCAGTTTTCGTATTTTTAGAGAGACCCTTTACTAATCCAAATTAATCTCCATGTGGCAAAATTTCGTGAAGGTTCTAAAAAATTGTATTCTGAACAGCAAATGTTCAGTTTATATTAAACTACCATAGAAATCATACCACTCTGTCTAGGTTGATACTAGAACCAAACAAATCCCAAACCACTGCTGTCAATTCTGATTCATGGTGACGCTCCATAGTTTCCAAGACTGTAAATCTTAACAAGAGGAATTACCTCCTCTTTCTTCCATGGAATGGTTGGTGGGTTTGAACTGTCCACTTTTTAGGGGGGCTAAAAGGAAGTCTACAATTCATAAAATTTTGGGGGGGTCTGGAGGCAGCAAGCACTTGTGGGCTTTCTATTCACTGTCCAATTTGCACAGCAAGTAATTTAAACCTGAGGCCCTCCTGTTTAGTTCTAAAATGTAACCTTCAAAGACAGTACACACCCAAATGCAGCAAGAACCATCCTTGTCCACATTCCCAAGTGCAACTGGGTATATTCAACTTGGGAATCATGATCTCTCAGGATTTTGGCGTCCCCTGCTGGAGAAGTGTAGTTGCCAGGTTCTCACCAGGTGAGAGAAACTTGGGCCTTTGTGCCCAGAAAAAGGCTTTTCCTTTTTTAGATCTGAGGTCGAAATTGAGAGGCTGAGATCCCAAATTGTGATGCTCTCCTTCCTTCCTTCTCTCCAGTTAATATGCTATCTCTAAGCATTTTGGTCCCCCCTACCGCCCTAAAAACATACCTGCAAACTCTTGCAATCGCTTTCGCTCTTCTAGGTTATACTGAAGTTTTTCTAGCAACTCAAAATATCGGAAGAGTGAATCTCTGGGCCATACAACACGTTCTTCTTGATCCATTTCCATTAGTCCAGGCAGATTCTGGTGCACATGAGTCTCCCAGTCTAACTTACCTGTAGAAGTTGGTTAAAAGCAAATTAACTCTTACTTGGGAGAGGGACTCAGGATGAAAGAGGAAACAGGAAGCAGGGAAGGAAAAGGGCACCTTAACAAGAGACCACCTTTTTTTTTTAATTATTGTTATTTTTTATGTGTGTACTGTCAAATCGGATCTGACTGGTACAGGAGGCGAATGTTCCTCCTTCTTCAGCAGAGCATCTAAGAGACCACTTTTTACAATGGGCAGAGAGACCCGCAGCCATGCTTACTCAAAGCAAAAGCTGAAGTGCAGATGAAATAGGCACACTCAAATAAAGACATTCAGACGAAGGAAATCAGACTAGTGGAGAAAACTGATGTTGATGTGTGCTATCAGGTCAGAACCAATTTTATGACCTTCTAGCAGGTTTTCAGACTCAGTAAATCACACAGGAGTAGACTGCCCATCCTTCCACTGTGTACTTCTAGCTGGTGGACTTGAATCCCCAACCTTTGTGATTGCAGCACAGCTTCCTATCACTAGACCACCATAGAGAAAACTAGGAAGCAGATATAGTGAGCAAGCGATTGAGCTGTCTCACTCATTTCTACTGAGAAACAACTCATAGCTGACCCTCTTGCGGGTTGTCAGAGGCAGATCACATAGGAGGAGATTACTGAACTTTCCCATGAGTCTCTGGGAGCAATTGGTGGATTTGAACTGCCCACCCTTGAGTTTTCAGTGCAACTCTTTATTGATTATACCACTACAATTCCCTAGAGTGGAATGTTGTTGTTGTTTTGTGCCTTCATGAGTCGGGACCAACATATAGCTGAACCTCCAGGGATTTTCAGAGGTAGTTAATCAAACAGGAGATTACCCACCTTCTTACCACTGTTGTTGTTGATGTTGAGTATCTTTGAGTCATTACAAACCCATAGCTGACCCTACAGTGGGTTTTCAGAGGCAGTTAATCCCATGGGAGGAGATTACCCATCTTCCTCCCACGGAGCAGCTGGCTGATTGAACTCTGAATTCAAGATTACAGCGCAGCTTTTTACCATTAGGCTACCAGAGCTCCCTTCTTACCACTAGGCTGTCTATTTAAATTAGGGTGTATCATAAAGAATAAGAGAAGTGTGAATTCAAATGTAAGAGATTCTTCCTCTCACCAATACCTTCAGAATCTTTAGATTCACAAGTGGAGGAATAGGAGGAAACTGAGGAAGAGCAAGATAAAGACTCTTTTGATTTTGGCAAAGGCTCTGTCGCTTTTGTAAAAGAGTCTACTAGATTTATTGTTGATACTAAATTGTCCGTCTCATCATTTTTTTTAGATTTATCTCCAGAAGTTTCTAGATTTAAAGAATCCTGTTCGTTTTCTTCTTCCCTGCAAGTGAAAGGGGAAATTTTATTACTTCAAATATATTTATAATATATGTCTCTATATATTTATAATACTCTGAAGTCCCATACATTGGAACTGGAATTTTTTTAATATGACTTTTTTTTAATTTTAATGAAAGGTTACAGAGACATAGGATTTCCAGTCATTCATTGTTGCACTTAGTTCTCCCTGCCTACCCCTTCCTCCCCAATTGGCTCTTCTCTTTGAAAAGTAAAAGAAAAATTCTTTCATTGTTATACAATCCCTTCTCCCAAGTCCACTCCACTGTGCAGCTTTCATTCTGGACTCCCGTCATGACAGTAATACCTAATCATAAAGGAAGAAACCAAGAAATCAAAGAGCTGAACAGAAAATTTCAAAAGGCAGCTCGGGACGACAAAGCAAGTATTATAATGAAATGTGCAGAGCTGGAGTCAGAAAAGCAAAGGGCGGGACTCGCTCAGTGTTTCTTAAACTGAAGGAGTTGAAAAACAAATTGAAGCCATGGGTGGCAATACTGAAAGATAGTTTGGGTAGAATGTTAAATGATCCAGGAAGTATCAAAAGAAGATGGAAGAAGTACACAGAATCACTGTGTCAGAAGGAATTGGCTGACAAAGAAGAATTTCATGAAATAACATATAAGCAAGAGCCTATGGTGATGAAAGAGGAAGTTCAAGTTGCTATGAAGGAATTGGCAAAAAACAAGGCTCTAAGGGGAGCTCTGGTGGCCTAGTGGTAAGGAGCTGCAACTACAATCCCAGAGGCACACGGTTCAAATCCACCAGATGCTCTGCCGGGAAAGGAGGGACAATCTCTTCCTGTACCAGTCAGATCTGATTTGACAGTACA